CAGATCCCACAACTTCCCTGTCTCCTTTAGTTTTTAGAATAGACTCATTTTTGTATTTAAGGTTCTGTGCTAGTCATTTTTTTTTCTCTCAAATGAAGTATTTAATTTTTGAATACATTATACTCTGGCATAGCTTTTATTATTATTATTATTATTTGGAGACAGAGTCTCACTCTGTTGCCCAGGCTGGAGAGCAGACACACAATCTCAGCTCACTGCAACTTCACCTCCCAGGTTCAAGCAATCCTCCTGCCTTAAATTCTTCCTCCCCATCCTACTCCCCAACTATCCAGGATCCCTCACCTGATTTAACCTAATTTTAGATATATGTGTGTGCGTCTGTGTGTGTGTGTGTGTGTGTGTGTGTGCGTGTGTGTGTAACCATTGATACTAATTTTGATACTAATTTCTCACAACTCCTTCCAGAAGTTTTTAGGCACATCTGAATAAATTTGCATACATTTCCCTCGTTATACTGATAGAAACATATCAAACATACTCTTGTTGCTTTTTTTCTTGATGTATCCTAGCATCCTTTCTTGACCAGTATTGTACATTGAACTTCCTCTTTTTGGCTTTTACAACTGCATCATCTCCCATTTGTGAAAACGTTTAGAATTTTCTCATCTGTGAGGCCAGTTTCTGGTTAAGAGACATCCCTGTTCCTTCCAATTGCTTGCCCTTGAACAATCTGCCATGAGTCACTGGCTCCAGGAGGATGCTGGAGTGAGTCACCTGCACCCAGGACACTCCCTACAGTGCAGCCAGATCCAGGGGCCAAACTCCTGCCGGGGAGATGGCTGGGTCAAAGCATATTTGCTTTTTTATTTTGACAGGCATTGCCAAACTGCCCCGTGGGGCTGGAATCCATGTAAACTCCCACCAGCAGGGATGGCGGCTGCCTGCTGCCCTCGGCTGCACCAATTACTCTCTTGAGTTTTTGCCAATACAGCAAGTGAAAAAAGACATCTCCGTGTGATTTGGATTTTCGTTCCTCTTACGAGGCACAGGGTTGAAAATCCTTTCACAACATTTTAAGGGTGATTTGTATCAGCTTTCCTGTGCGCTGTTTATATATCCTTTGCTTATTTCAGCCATGTTCCAATTTTCCAAAGTTCAATCTCATATTGTTCAAAGCTCCACTTGCAGACTGTTTGGGGAGTGGCAAGCAGCTGGCCTGGAGCCACCCTCCTCCCCTCTCCGCCTCTTAGTGGTGGGGGAAGGAGCAGGGATCGACCAGCTGAGGCACCCCTCCTGGGCCAGCTGTGCACCATGGTAGGAGGCATCCTTCTGGGGCCTTTGAGGTTGTCACACACACACACACACACACACACACACACACACACACACACAGGAGACCATCCCTCCCAGAGGAGTGGCCACACCTGCCTCTGGCCCCGGGGGCACCTGCCTGCTTACAATCCCTTCTCCAGCTTGAGTCTCCTATTGCTTGGCCCAGTGGTCATCTGGACAGTCCCCATTTGGGTTCTAAGGACCCTCAGGGAACTCCAGGGTCTTCTTGTACAAGGGCTGCTCCAAAGACCATGGAGAACAAAGTTAAGGTTGAGAGGGCTCATTTCCTTCAAGGACACGCAAGCCACAATCCCTTTGAGCCCCGTGGAACAAAGTCTTCCAGCAGGTCCTACCTTCAGAAATCCTCCAGCCCAAAGCCAGCTCCATTCCCATGTGCAGTGTCTTCCCAGATCTCGGCACCCTCTCCCAGGAGACTCTGGAATGGGCCCATGGGTTCCACAGCCCTGTGAGCTTCCAGCTGGGAGCCTCTCCCTCCTACAGGGACCTCTAGGCCTTTCCAGGGCTTCTTTGGAGCTGGTTTCCTCTTTGCATGGGCTAGGCACCCCCAAAAGGCCAACCTCCTCCCTTCTCCCTCCTCTTCTTTTATCTGAGAGTGGAGACTAACAGGGGGCACACCGCCCCTCCGTGATCCCTCTTTGCCGGCAGACTCAAGCTGCAGCAGAAATTTGTTTGGCCTTAGCAGTAATTCCAGAACATCAGAAAAAATCCTGCTCTGGCTGGGCGTGGTGGCTCATGCCTGTAATCTCAGCACTTTGGGAGGCCAAGGCGGCTGGATCACTTGAAGTCCGGAGTTCAAGACCAGCCTGGCCGACATGGTGAAACCTCCTCTCTACCAAAAATATAAAAAATTAGCCGCGTGTGGTGGTGCGTGCCTGTAATCCCAGCTACTCAGGAGGCTGAGGCAGGAGAATTGCTTGAAACCAGGAGGCAGTGGTTGCAGTGAGCCGAGATCATGCCCCTGCACTCCAGCCTGGGCTACAGAGTGAGACTCCGTCTCAAAAAAAAAAAGAAAGAAAGAAAAAAAGAAAGAAAGAAAGAGTCCTACTCTGCATCTTACACTGCCTCCATCATTTGATTTATTCTTTCTTCCTGCTGTATGCAATTTTTGCCTTTTGATTTATAAATGCTGTATATAACTTTTAAAGATATTTAATTGACAAATACAGAATATGTTCAAAGTATACAATGTGATGATATGATATATACATTGTGTAGTGATTATCACCATCAAATTAACACACCCATCTCCACCCATGTTATATGTTAGATCCCCAGAACTTGTTCATCTTATAACTGAAAGGTTTTACTCTTTGACCCTCATCTGCCCATTCTCCCTACCCCATCCCCCACCACCTTTGGCAACCATTGTTCTCCTCTCTGCTTCTGAAAGTTTGACTTTTTAGATTCTGCATATAAGATCATGCAGTAATTGTCTTTCTGTATATGGCTTATTCACTTAACCACATGCAGAAAGCCCAACCAAGCTCATCCATTCCAAGCTCATCATGCTGCTGCAAATGGCAGGGATCACTTGAGGTAAGGAGTTTGAGACCAGCCTGGCCAACACAGTGAAACCCCACCTCTACTTAAAAAAAAAAAAAAAAAAAATTAGCCTGGCCTGGTGGCGAGTGTCTATAATCCCAGCTACTTGGGAGGCTGAGGCAAGAGAATTGCATGAACCCGGAAGGCGGAGGTTGCAGTGAGCAGAGATGGTGCCGCTGGACTCCAGCTTGGGAGACAGAGCAAATCTCTGTTTCAAAAAAAGAGAGAAAGAAACAAATGCAATCTCTGGCCCCACCTGGACCTCCTGAGTCAGAATCTGTGATTTAATGAGAGCCCAGTCTAGGAGCCTCAGCTCTCCACGCCCACCGTGCCCCTCCCGACAGGCACTGCGCCTTCCTCCACTGCAGCTGGTGATTGCTACAGCTCAGCCTGTAACCAGCTCCCCGCAACTCCCCACCTCCGTGTCCCCATGTGTCCTGACCTCCCAGGCCACTGATTCACACACTGATTCATGCAGCCCAGGACTGGGAGGTGTAATAGTCACCTCAGCTCCTGGGCCTGAAGCCGCATAACTAACACTGAGACAGCCGAATAGAGCCTCCCCCTGCCTCTGATTCTCCCAGGCCTGCCTTCAGCTCACAGTTACAACAGCAGCTTTTGACCACATCACAGATCCCCCCAACAAATGAGTCAGATAGCTGCAGTGTGGCCCCTGCCGCACCATTTCCCAGCCATATGACCTTGGCCAGATAATCACAGCTCTGAGAGTGGCAGCTGCCTCATCTATAAAGTGGTGGGGGTGGAGGAGGTAATTATCACATTGACTCATGCAGAACTTGTGAGGCTTGGCTAAGGTAACTCATCCATTCATCTATCGTTGTAAAAAGATGTTTACAGAGTGTTGCTGTGTGGCCGGCATCAGGGACAGCAGAGACCCAAACAGACCAAGTCCTGCCCTAAGGAAGCTTATTAAGGAGGGAATGTGGGCAGACATAAAATGAAGCCGAGTCCCATGCCGGCAGGTGCTTGGGGGGTGTTCATGCATGCATGCGTGAATGAATGAATGCATGAATGCAAGTGCCCTGTGAGCCACACCCTCCCTCAATCACCAAGCTATCCCCAGGCTCCTCCACCCTAAAGTCACCATGGGACAGAAAGCCATGGGTCTAAAGCTGCAGAGGAACTTAAGGGAACATCAGGAGATTGGGGTGGGGGAAGCTGCGGGGTTTTCCGGCAGTTAATGGATATAGACGAATCAAAGCAATTATAAAAAGATTCCAGACGTAGAGCACACTTGCCTAAAATAGTTGATAATTGCAGCGGAATTAGGGTTGTTTTACAGATAGTTTTATGAGCTCTCTCTCTCTCTGTGTGTGTGTGTGTGTGTGTGTGTGTGTGTGTAAAATCATCTCAAATATGTTAAGATTTGGGAATGCTTCTTCTCAGCGTTTCAGAGCCTCCTCATTTCAGGGAGAACAATCCCCCCAACTCTTTTTTTTTTTTTTTTTTAGACAGAGTTTCGCTCTTGTTACCCAGGCTGGAGTGCAATGGCGCGATCTCAGCTCACCGCAACCTCCGCCTCCTGGGTTCAGGCAATTCTCCTGCCTCAGCCTCCTGAGTAGCTGGGATTACAGGCACGTGCCACCATGCCCGGCTAATTTTTTGTATTTTTAGTAGAGACGGGGTTTCACCATGTTGACCAGGATGGTCTCGATCTCTCGACCTCGTGATCCACCCGCCTCGGCCTCCCAAAGTGCTGGGATTACAAGCTTGAGCCACCGCGCCCGGCCGCCCCAACTCTTATTGTACCATGCACATCCCTCTGAGGACTCTCTGAGCCTCCCTGGATCATGGAATTTGAGAGTTAGAAGTCGAGACAACCCACCCACCCCATGTTTTCTGGACAGGAAACTGAGGCCCTGACTTGCCTGAGGTTAAGCCCGTGATTACAGGCAGCTGGAAATGGAGATTCGAACCCAGGTCGCCTGACTCCTGGCCCAGTGCCCGTGGTGGTTTACCATGTGGGTGTCCCCGCACCCCTGACACCGCACAGTAAATGCTGGTGGTCAGCACTGACACAGGCAATGTCCACCGAGCCACGAACGAGGCACAACAGCCTACAGAGCCAGACACCCAGCCTGGGTGGCATGACGAAACCCCATCCCTGCAAAAAATACAAGTACATACTTACCCAGTAGGGGAAATACCATGATCACGAAGGTAGTTTTCCCGGGGCGAGGCTTATCCATTGCACTCCAGAGGTGCTGACCCCTGCAATTTCTCCAAATGTGGGAAATTCCGCTGCATAATTTGTGGTAGTGGGGGATTGAGTTCGTGCTTTCCCTGATTGTTTTAAAAAATAAAATAAACACAAAAAATACAAGTATTAGATGGGCATGGCAGCATGTGCCTGTGGTCCCAGCTATTCAAGAGGCTGAGGTGGGAGAATGGCTTGAGCCCAGGAGGTCGAGGCTGCTGTGAGCCATAGATGTGCCCTTACTGCACCACTCCACTCCAGCAAGAGTGACAGACCACGAGCTCCACTTATAAGACAGGAAAGGGCAAACCAAGACTCTGATTAGTACTTGCCAGGGGCTGGGGGCGTGGCAGGGACTGACCTCAGCAGGTACAAGGGGACTTTGAGGGGTGAGGGAGCTGTTCTGTTTCTTGGTGGTGGTGGTGGTTACTTGCACTGAATGTGTTTGTCAAAACTAATAAAAAGAGTAAATTATATCTCAAGTTTTGTTTTGTTTTGTTTCATTTTTGTTTTGTTTTTGAGATGGAGTCTTGCTCTGTCGCCCAGGCTGGAGTGCAGTGGTGTGATCTCGGCTCACTGCAACCTCTGCCTTCCAGGTTCAAGCGATTCTCCTGCCTCAGCCTCCCAAGTAGCTGGGATTACAGGTGCCGGCCACCACACCCGGCTACTTTTTTGTTTTGTTTTGTACTTTTAGTAGAGACAGGGTTTCACCATGTTAACCAAGCTGGTCTGGAACTCCTGACCTCAAATGATCCCACCTACCTCAGCCTCCCAATTTGCTGGGATTACAGATGTGGGCCACTGCACCCGGCCTCTCAAGTTTTTTTTTTTTTTTTTTTTGAAACGGGATTTCGCTCTTGTTACCCAGGCTGGAGTGCAATGGCGCGATCTCGGCTCACCGCAACCTCTGCCTCCTGGGTTCAGGCAATTCTCCTGCCTCAGCCTCCTGAGTAGCTGGGATTACAGGCACGCGCCACCATGCCCAGCTAATGTTTTGTATTTTTAGTAGAGACGGGGTTTCACCATGTTGACCAGGATGGTCTCGATCTCTCGACCTCGTGATCCACCCGCCTCGGCCTCCCAAAGTGCTGGGATTACAGGCTTGAGCCACCGCGCCCGGCTTGGCCTCTCAAGTTTTTAAGATGAAGCCTAAAATAATGATGATGATAATGATAATAATAATAACCTTGAAAGCCAAAAAAAGAAAAAGTCCATCACAACACAGAGGCCCCAGGGGTCCCCCTGTCAGAGCTGGAAGACGCCTGTTAGCTGGAAGATGGCCTGGGCTAGGGATTTCTGCCCACAGACTTTTCTCCTGGGAGATTCCTCAACCCAACACTCCCAAACCAGCGTGCTGTGACCCAAATCTGGCTTCACTCCTGCTTCCCAGACCAGGAGCGCCATTCCACCAGGCACCCAGGCTTGCTACAGCTGTGGGCCAGCTCCTTTCTCCACGGCTCCCGAAACCACCACAAGGCACTGACCCACAATTTGTCCCGTAACTCCCTGCAGCTCCGACCTGATCAGGCACTCACCTATGTGTTATCTCCCTCAGGACGGACTCTGTGTCCCCACTACCCCGCCCTGTGCCTGCCTCCCTGGGATGCTGTGCCTCCTGCCCAGGACCTGCCAGGGCCCCTGGCCAACAACAGGGTTTGCTGGGTGAGCTCCTCAGTTAGTCCAGCAGTCAGAGGCCTCCACAGACTGGCACCAAAACACAATTAATTCCTACATCATCCACCCCACTGCCACCCCATGGGATCCCTGCCCATCACTGTCTAAAGGTCCAGCTCTTTGCTGAGAGTAGCCTCAATACAAGAGCATGGGTGAGCTGCTGGGCACAGGGCCTGGGGAAAGAAGAGAGGAGATGCCAGGGCAGGTGGGTCCCACGGAGCTCTAAAACCTCAACAGCCTCTCCAGCCTCCACCTGACAGCTCCAGTGACAGGGACATCAGCCCCCCAGGTAACCCCTCCAGCTTTGGGGAACTCAGACACTTGTGTGTCTCCGCCTTACATGGAGCTCGAGGCCGTTCTTGTCTGTGGTCCTCATTCCCATTCCACCCCCAGGCCACCAGAGGACAGCTGGGTGATGATGGTGACCTCATCCCTCTCGAGTCTCTGCCCATCCCTGCAGCCAGGCTCACAACCACAGCAAAGGCAGGGGTCCCCAATCATCTGGCCAGAATGGAAGCCTCTCTCTCCCTCTCACTCCTTCTCTCTCTCTCTCCCTCCCTCTCTCTCTCTCTCTCTCTGTCTGTCTCTCTCTCTCCTTCTCTCTCTGTCTCTCTCTCTATCTCTCTTTCTGTCCTCTTGCTGGCTCAAGAATGGTTTCTCTCTTACTGTGACCTCATCCCTCAGTGACTCAGTTTATCTTGCTGTGAATGAAAATCACCCCATCTCGCTGGAGCCATGGGTTCTTTGCCACATATATGACAAGCATCATCCTCCCCGGCACTCCGGGAATGGTGTGTATTAATGGTCCAACCTAAGTGTGACCTCCCAGCCACTGCACAGTCCTCTCTGGCCACCTGAAATAGCAGCATTACTCTCGGCTGGAAGGGGCTTCACCCATCCCTTGGTGGAGAATAAGGTCCCTCATCCCACGAGACAGTGCACATCCAACTTCATGGATAAGGAAACGGAGGCCGGGACCAGACGGGTCTGGCACTGCTGGGTCCCCCAGCTGACCGCAGTGAGGAAGGCACTGCCAAGGTCCCCATGAGCGCAGGGTGTGCCCCTGCATGTGGCCCAGCTGCTCTGAGGCAACCTCTGAGTACCTTAATGTTCATTTCTGCCTGGCCGATAATTTACCGGGAAGGTGGTTAATAGAGCAGGACCAGCTCTGCAAGCAGGTGGGAAAGGAGGCGCCATCCCAGGCCAAGCCTTCTAACACAAACCTGTGTAGCTAGTTCTAGGAACCAGAGTGGTCTTCAGTCCGCAAATCCCCCTACCCAGAATGTCCTGATTCCGGTCTTAGGTTAAGAAGGCACTCTCTGCCTCCGGTAGGGGAAACGCCAACTCCTGACTGTTCTGCCTGCCTGCCCCGGATCAATAGTGTGGGGCTGGCTGGCAGGTGGAGAAGAAGGGGTCTGGGAACTCAGAGGGACTCCAGAGGAAGAGGGGTGGGCAAGAGGAGGGGCGCAGCGGGAAAGGAGGCGTCTGAAGCCCAGCGCCCCATGCTCCCCATTTTACCAAGGAAGACACGGACAAAAGCAGTGGCTCTTAAGCTTCCTTCAGTCTCTGACCTTTCTTTTGTATTTTTACTTTTATTTTTGTTTATTTATTTATTTATTTATTTATTTTTTGAGATGGAGCCTTACTCTGTTGTCCAGGCTGGAGTGCAGTGGCCTGACCTCTACTCACGGCAGCCTCCATCTCCCAGGTTCAAGCAATTCTTCTGCCTCAGCCTCCCAAGAAGCTGGGACTATAGGCGTGCACCACCATGTCCAGGTAATTTTTGTATTTTTAGTAGAGATGGGGTTTCTCCATGTTGGCCAGGCTGGTCTTGAACTCCTGACCTCAAGTGATCCCCCTGACGGCCTCTGCCTCCCAAAGTGCTAGGATCGCAGGTCGGCCTTCAGTCAAGTCTCCAACCATTTTGAGAGCATGATAGAATCTCTGGACCTATAGTCCAGGAAAATGTATATGCTCATACACAGCCTTGCACCCCCAAAACCTCCATGGAGTCCGTGGAACCCCAGATTTCAAGCCCTCAGATGGGTAGAGAACTAAGAATTCCTAGTTTGGCTTCTCTGTCTAGCATGCTGTCCCACCAGCTTAGACCCCTCCAGAGGGTTTACACAGTCTCTCACCCCGAGCACCCCTACCCTAGAAGGAGGTCTGCAGGGGGAGGGAGGTGGGGTTTGTTCTTGTTGCATCTCTCTTTTCCTGTGAAAATTGTCCTAGTTCAGATGATATGGTCTCCCCAGAGGGAGGTGACCATTCTGTTTCTCCAGCCCATGGCAGGGTGGCTGTGGGATGAGAAGACCTTATTTCCCACCAAGGCCACATGTCATTCCATCAGAGAGGCCACTAATGCACCCACTAGACTTGGCCGCCAGCTGACGGCAAAGTTTGCCTTCTTGGGATTCAAGCTTGCCCATGTCTAAACTTACCATTGTGAGACCTTGCACCGGCCAACAGTCTTTTCTCATCTTCTGAGACTTTCTTTTTTTTTTTTTTTTTTTTTTTGCTCTGTCGCCCAGGCTGGAGTGCAATGGCACAATCTCCGCTCACCGCAACCTCTGCCTCCTGGGTTCAAGCAATTCTCTGCCCCAACCTCCCAAGCAGCTGGGACTACAGGCACCCACCACCACGCCCAGCTATTTTTTGTATTTTTAGTAGAGACAATGTTTCACCATCTTGGTGAGGCTAGTCTTGAACTCCTGACCTCGTGATCCACTGACCTCAACCTCCCAAAGTGCTGAGATTACAAGCGTGAGCCACTGCGCCCGGCCTCTGAGACTTTCTTTTCCTGTCTGGACATTTATGGTCCCTCTTAATGCTTTCTTGGAATTCCTTCACTATTTCTGCTACTCTTTTTCTCTTGAATTATTTAAGACGTGTTTACTTGAATGTAGTTTTGCAAGCCACTTTAAACATTTCCCCCTAAAAGTGCATCCTATGAATAATATAAACAAACCACAATTATAAAATGATACATGAATGCCTCCAAATTGTAGAGATTAAGCTGTAATTTTCAGTGGCAAAGACATGGATGCCAGGATGTGCAGATTAGCCCACATTTCATCAAATTAGAATGAGAGTGAAACTCCAGTCTGAATAGAATACTTTGCCTGATGACTCTAACTGAAAATTCTTCTCTTTCTATTCTAAAGCACTCAAAACCAGTGAAGCTTGGGAAAGTCGCTGACCTCCAGTTGTTCTGCTGAGAAACAGCTGGCTCCATTTCCATGGAGACCAAGGAATCTGAAGATGTGAAAAAGACCCAGAGGAAATCAGCAAGGGATCAGCAGAACGCTGATAATGAACCAGCCAAGGTGAAACCTGAGTTACTCTCAGAAAAAGAAGAGACTTCTCCAGTGGACCAGGAGATCCAAGACAAAGAGCTTCATCGCCACATCCCAATT